TGTCCACCACCGTTTCTTGCATATCGACACCACAATTATTGCACTTTAAATGATTTTCACTTATTGTTGCACTAGAAATTTATGATCATTGGTATGATTCGTAAAGGCATCAGGACAAAATAAATGATAGTGTCTGTCTAACCTTGTGCTTGTCTGCAGGTAATTATTTTCTGTGCGTTTGATAACACGGTTTGCCTGAGAACCAAGAACCACGTGCAAGTAATTTTTATTACAACATTCAGCGTTGTCACATACGAATGTACGACTGAATCTAAAGTCATCGTGTAAACAAAGTTATTTCGCTTTAGTAACTTTAAACCTTTGAATCTCTATAGGATGGTTTCTAAAACTTGCATAACGAATGTCGGCACCCAGGCACATTCGACGATTCCCTTAAACGTGACAAAGAATAAATCTTTGCTGTATCGCGTCTTATGAAACGCGGATGAGATCGTTTGCATACTGTATCTGTAAAATAATGTTCATGTTAAACATGCGTATGGGGTCATGGTGAGAATAATCGCGAAAGATCGTCGACACTCACTCGGGAATTTCTGGCAGAAAATCCAATCTAATTTTGCTCCTAACTTGCTCTGGCAGTATTTTGTCCGAGTCGAACATTGATCGAAGAGATGATAGGCAACTTGCCGTGATGTCGTCTTGAAGGTTTAGCTCGAGGTAGTTTTTAAGGAGGTTGTTTCCAAGTTCCGCTGGAATGTGTGAATATTTATAAATGAATAAATAAATGCATTGGCGGCATGATGCGTCGAACGCGACGAACATTGGTTGCCGGTCCTCACGGTTGAAATCCAAAAGAATTCCCGGGTCAACGTGCAACAGGATGTCGAATTGATTGATTTTAGATTTCGACTGAAGATAATTGTGAGTAAATGGAATGGAATTCAAAAAAAAAAAGGAACGGAAAAGGAAATTAACAAAAGTTCACAAACCCGCTTTCTAGTGATTTGGGAACGTTCTCTAGCATCAATTATGGCTTGCGTGTGATATCTCCTTATGTCTTTTTATATCATATTTAGGTTAAAATATTGTATCACGTTATTTTAAGAAGAAATTCTTACAAAGATTTATTTGCTCCATTCTCTGCGAATTCCCATGTAAGTTTTGGACCCGGGGGGACTGGTAAATTGCGTCAATCTAATTTGTGTGCACGCATTTAACAAAAGAGAACATTATATCAAGAAGAGCAATCAACGCAATAACGTCGACACCGATTCTTCACAACTTCTCTTACTAACATTACGGCCCGAGTGTGTCTCCCCATGTGGCCTATCTCCTACATGAAGATTGGTCGAATCCAGTCGTGTTTCATTTTCCTCAACCTCCAGACCGGTTATTCCATCCAGAGATGATGTCGAAGATTCCGAGTTGGCGCTCCTCGGAGAAGCTGTCATCAGCCTCGAAATATTTTTCAATCTTAAATATCCGGAGTAATATGATTTTTTTTTGCGAAAATTCGGTTGTCGTATTGCGCGTATCCACGTTTTCCTTTAAACGAAAGGATGTTATTTACTGCGTGATAAATTGAGAAGAGTGAATGAATCATTGCACGAACATCCTCAGTTTCATTCGTTTCGCCTCCCGGAAAAATTCGGGGTCTTCTTAATGGAAGGTTATCGTTTGATGAATCCATAGATCACGTCGACCAGGTTGGACG